TGATGCTGTTATTCCTACCAAAATGGATGACCTCCCATTTACCAAAATTGTACTCCATCTGCCAGACCCCTGCCCATTCATTTTACCTATCTATATCCCTCTGTAGACTTTCAGCATCCTCTGCACGTTTTGCTTTCCCACTCACTTAAGTGTTATCTGCAAACCTTGACCCACTACACTTGGTCCCCAGCTCTAAATCATCTGTGTATATTGTAAACAGTGGCAGTCCCAGCACTGATCCCTGGGGCACAGCGCTAGCCACTGATCACCAAACAGAAAAACACTCACTTATCCCCAATCTTTGCTTTCTGTTAGTTAACCAATCATCTACCCATGCTGATACATTACTCATAATACAGACAGCCCACACCAAATCTGAGGGCTCAAGGAGTGTTGTGATATTAAAAACAAAGTATTGATGAGGAAGTGAGACACCCTCACAGAAATATGGATGAAGAAGGGTCAATTTCTCATCAAAAGTGACACTGGCCAGATATTGTAAGAAAATATTGCGAGTCATGCATGAAATTCCTATGGCAGAACATGCACAAATACAGGAAACAAAGACATTGATGACTCAGCATTTTACATGGGCCAAGACTACACAAAGGTGTTGTGCAGTTGTGCAAAACAGGTCATGCATGCCAGATGGTAGGGAGCCTCAGCATGTAATCAAACCAGTAGCTTAGATACCAACACCAGGATTTGAAGTGTGAGTACATTGTGTAGGGCCATCACCAAACGTGAATCAGTATATCCTTAAAATCAGGGCACAACAACCTGATTCCCAGAAACTAGTCTTTTCAGGACAGTTAGGGCTAGGGTAGTTAAAAGTAAAGATTGTTATGGATTACTAAATGAGATACAATCTGATTGAGGTTCTCATTTTATATCTAAAAGTTTCCAGGAAATCTATAGCAGTTTGGGTTTGAAACACTGAAGTCAACTGTGTATTGCCCACAAAAACAGCCAATTTTGGAGATGTACCATCAGACTGTGGAAAACATGATTAAATAATCCTATCAGGCATCTGGACACAGCATTAGATTTCTTACTTCTTGCAACTGGAGATCATCCAAATGAATCTACTGCACTTAACCTTTTTGAATTGATTTATGGTCATGAGATCCATTAAAATTAATTAAAGACAAGTACTTTTAACAAAACAGGCGAATTCTCAGTGTCAGATTATGTGTTCGCATTTCTACAAAGACTCACAGGAGCATGTGAGATCACACAGGAGCAGCTGAAAATTTCATAGAATCCCTGCAGTGCAGAAGCAGGCCACTCAGCCCATCAAGTCTGCACCAACCCTCTGAAGAGCATCCCATCCAGACTCAAACCCCTATCCCTCCAACCCTGTATTTCCTGTGGCTAACCCACCTAACCTGCACATCCCTGGGCACTATGGGGCAAGTTAGCACGGCCAATCCACCCTAACCTGCACATCCCTGGGCACTACGGGACAATTTAGCATGGCCAATCCACCCTAACCTGCACATCCCTGGGCACTACAGGACAATTTAGCATGGCCAATCCATCCTAACCTGCACATCCCTGGGCACTACAGGACAATTTAGCACGGCCAATCCACCCTAACCCGCACATCCCTGGACACTACGGGACAATTTAGCATGGCCAATCCATCCTAACCTGCACATCCCTGGGCACTACAGGACAATTTAGCATGGCCAATCCATCCTAACCTGCACATCCCTGGGCACTACAGGACAATTTAGCATGGCCAATCCACCCTAACCTGCACAACTTTGGACTGTGGGAGGAACTGGAGCACCAGAGGAAACCTATGCAGACATGGAGAGAATGTGCAAACTCCACACAGAGACTCGCCCGATGGTGGGATCGAACCTGGGTCCCTGGTGCTGTGAGGCAGCAGAGCTAACCATTGAACTACCATGCCGCCATTTCACAAGCAAAAATAGAGAGATAAACATTCAGCAACTAGAACGTTGCAAGAGAGAGGGAGAGAGAGATGATGTGTTAGTATTGTTGCCATCACAAGGTGAACTGTGAAACTGAAATTCAGTGGTCCGTGCAAAATAGTTAAGCGTGTTAGTCAAGTGATGTATCAGATAAATAGACTTGATGAGAGGAGGATGAATCGGTTATGTCACATAAACAAGCTAAAAAAAGTAGCATTGTAGGGAAGAAGAGAAGGAGGAGCAGGTGAGACAGGTGGAAGTATAGTGAAGGTGATGGTGAACGGAAAATGAGGCAGAAGGAGAGTCAGACAGTCCTCAAAATGACCCTTCTCCAATTTCACTCTCCAACACAGGAATACATAGACAGTCAGAAATTGTGTTCTCATGTTTACAGGAATGAAAATGGGAGGATCTTGTAAGATTTCTCAGAAGGTATGAGGTAATTGATATTGATACACCTGGATGCCTAGCTAACAATGTACATGCTGTGGATGGAGGAGAGTCAGGACTGATAAAACAACATCTTAAGCAGTTAAGCCCAGAAAAACAAGCTTAGGCTGAGACAGGCATGGAAAACTACTTCATTAAACCTAGTCAAAGCATCCAAACTCCACAAGGAAACTGAATAGATTGCCCAGTTTCTGTAGTCACAAAGACAGATTCAGCCCCAATTCCATGCTTAGAAAACTGGATTGGTATGTTTGGCACTGCCTTATTCCTTTCTAAGATTAATCTATTGAAGGGGGCACTTACATGTTTCATCAGCATAAAGGAATAAAGAAATGACCCAAACAAACACAGAAAATGTGGACAAACCCAGTACACTGGCAGCATCTGTGGCGACAGAAACAGAGTTTACATTTCAAGTCCCATGAGAGACTTCTTCAGAACTTCAGAACACAGGAGGGTGCTATATAATATCCACTGAGATATTGAACCTGGTTACACATGACAGTGTTACTTAATATACGCTGAAATATTATACACAGTTACATAGAACAGTGTTATTTAATGTAAACTGAAATGTTATACACAGTTACACAGGATAGTGTTATTTAATCTGAACTGAAATAATATACACAGTTACACAGGTCACTGCTACTTAATATACACTGAAATATCATGCACAGTTACACAGAACAGTGTTATTTGATGTAAACTGAAATGTTATACACAGTTACACAGGACATTGTTATTAACGTTATACACATTTAATATATGCTGAAATATTATAAATGCTTACACAGGACACAGTTATTTAATATACACTGAAATATTATACACAGTTACACAGGACAGTGTTTTGTAATATGCACTGAAATATTATATGCAGTTACATAGGGCAATGTTATTTAATATATGCTGAAATATTAATCACAGTTAAACAGGAACGTGTTATTTAATACACACTAAAATATTATATACAGTTACATGGGAAAGTGTTATTAATATACACTGAAATATTATACACATTTACACAGGACAGTGATATTTAATATACACTGAAATGTCATATGCATTTTCACAGGACAGTGTATTTAATGTACACTGAAATATTATACACAGTTACACAGAACAATGTATTTAATATAATATATGTACTATTTTTAATGATCAGTAGGCACCATAGGCTGGTGTGCATTTTCTGCCCAGACAGGAATATTTTGATTTTGGACTTTTCTGTTTGCTTTCCATACGTTTCTGTCAGGTGTTGATTTATATTTGATACAGTGCCCCATCTGGGGCTCTTTCAAAAGAAATAAAGGGAGCGTTACTTTCGGTTCAAACGAGGAAAGGGAACTTACTCTTGTGTCTTATCCTGTGCTGTCCATAGCCTCAGAGAGTTTGATGAAGACAGTTTTAAGGCCTTTCTCGTTTAAACACTAGAGGGAGCTTCAATTCTGTGTCGAACCATGCTGTACCTGTCCGCACCGTGCGAGCATTTGTTGTGGACGAGGTGCGGGAGTTTTACTATGTACTCTGTCCCAGTCCTGGGAGTGTGTGAGGGGGACAGTGTAGAGAGAGCTTTACTCTATATCTAACCCTGTGCTGTCCCTGCCCTGGGAGTGTGTGAGGGGGACAGTGTAGAGAGAGCCTTACTCTGTATCTAACCCCGTGCTGTTCCTGCCCTGGGAATGTTTGATGAGGGGACAGCGTAGAGGGATTTTTACTCTATATCTAACCCTGTGCTGTCCCTGCCCTGGGAGTGTTTGATTTGGGGGACAGTGTGGAGGGAGCTTTACTCTGTATCTAACCCTGTGCTGTCACAATCCCTGGGAGTGTTTGATTTGGGGGACAGTGTAGAGGAATCTTTACTCTGTATCTAACCCCGTGCCCTGGGAGTGTTTGATGGGGGGGACAGTGTAGACGGAGCTTTACTCTGTACCTAACCCCGTGCTATCCCTGTCCCTGGGAGTGTTTGATGCGGGGGACAGTGCTGAGGGAGCTTTACCCTGTATCTAACCCCGTGCTGTCCCTGAGGAGTGTTTGATGGGGGGACGGTGTAGAGAGAGCTTTACTTTAGGAGTAGAGTTTGCATGTGTGTTTATAGGTTTCTGAAAGTCCCAGACAGCCCCTGTGGACAGGGGGGTGGGAGGGAGGGAAGAGGAGGGAGGAGAGTGGACGACGGGTGGAGAAGGAAGGACGGAGAATGGGAGGTTTCTGTGAGCGAATGGGAAGAGGAAGGCGGAGCCCGGGGTGAAGGGGGAAGGCGCTGGGAGGGAGGAGAGGGCTGGCCCGGAAAAGCAGAGATTGCTGGAGCTCAGGTGGAGACGGACGGATGGATGGATGGGGACAGTAGCAGCAGGAGGCGGTCAGAGGGCATTGGGATCTCCATGGGGAATGTGCGGCCACATCCGTCAGTGGGGAAGAGAGACTGAGGGGCTGGAGGGAGAATTCCAGTTTCACCTGAAGGCAGTGCCCTGTGCACGACCAGACCCTGCGTTGTGTGTGTGTGTGTGAGAGAGAGAGTGTGTGTGTGTGTGAGAGAGAGAGTGTGTGTGAGAGAGAGAGTGTATGTGTATGAGAGAGAGTGTGTGTGGGGGAGAGAGAGAGAGAGTGTGTGTGTATGAGAGAGAGTGTGAGAGAGAGAGTGTGTGTGAGAGAGAGAGAGAGAGAGTGAGAGAGAGAGTGACCTGGGTCAAGGCTGAGGGCTGGAGCTCCTCTTCAAGCTGGAGAGCCCGGGCTGCTCTCCTGCTGGACTTTTCCAGGGAAAGGCGATGGAAGCCTCCCAGGCCGGACACTGCCATGACTCTGGGGTAGGGGATCTGGAGGAAGAGCCGCTGAAATGTCAGTCTCCGGCAACCGCAGGCAGAGGTGAGGAGCAGCCCCAGCTTTTACCCAAGCTGCTGGCCTCCAGCTCCCCGGTGTTCAGGGCTGCTCCAGGGCACCTGCAGGCACCCAGCTCCCGACCTGGCAGTCTCCTGTACCTGGATGACCATCTGGGAGCCGCTCCTTCCTCGGGGGGTAAACACCGCCAGGCTAGCCCCCTGGTCCACCGCAGGGACAGTAACCCGTTCACCGAGATCGCCATGAGCAGCTGTAAGTATAACGGCGGCGTGGTGAAGCCCCTGAGCAGCCTCAGCACCTCCAAGCGGAACCTGATTGAGCCCCCCGAGCCAGACTCGCAGCCGCTGCAGCTATTCGGCTGCCAACAGCATCACCAGCGGCTGGCCAACACGCCCGAGATAGTCATCTCCTGCCGGGAGCAGGAACAGGATCAGCAGCAATTCCTTTACTGTCACCAGAAGCATCCAGTTTACCCCAGCACCGGCTCCACTGGCACCAGCGGCCCCGGGGGCACCAAAGGCGGCAACAAGAGGAAGAACCAGAACATCGGCTACAAGCTGGGTCACCGCAGGGCTCTGTTCGAGAAGAGGAAAAGGCTCAGTGACTACGCGCTCATCTTCGGCATGTTTGGCATCGTTGTCATGGTGATCGAAACCGAGCTGTCTTGGGGCATCTACACCAAGGTGGGTGCCAGGCTGCCTTTTGTCTGTGTGTGAGGCAGACTGTATGAATGTGTGTGTCACAGAGAGAGAGAGAGAGGGTCGGTGTGTGTCAGCCTGTGTGATTGTGTGATTGAGACTGTGTGACTCAGAGTGCTTGAGAGAGACTGTGCAAATGTGTGTGGTTGAGAGACCGTTGTATCAGAGAGACTGTGAAGGTGTATTAGTGTGTGTGTGAGGGAGGGACTGATTCTGAGAGTGTCTCTGTGTGACAGTGTGATTGAGAGACTGGTTGTGTGTGTGACGGAGAGACTGTTTCTATGTGTAACTGAGAGACACTGTGTGTAACTGAGAAACTGAGAAAGAATGCATTTGTAACAGAGAGACTGGGTTTGTATGTGTGTGACTGAGAGACAGAGGGAGACTTGGTTTGTGTGTGTGTGACTAAGAGACTGAGGGAGACTGCATTTGCATGTTTGTATGTGACTGGGAACTGCGTTTGTGTGTGTGTGACTGGGAGAATGCGTTTGTGTGTGGGTATGTGACTGGGGGAATGCGTTTGTGTGTGTGTGTGACTGGGGGAATGCGTTTGTGTGTGTGTGTTTGTGACTGGGAGACTGCGTGAGTGTGTGTGTGACTGGGAGAATGCATTTGTGTGTGTGAGACTGGGAGATTGCGTGAGTGTGTGTGAGACTGGGAGATTGCGTTTGCGTGTGTGAGACTGGGAGATTGCATGTGTGTGTGTGTGT